AGACTTTCTTCTGATTCAGTTTATCAGCTATCCAGGGCAATAATCTCTTCAGCAAGCCTTAAAAACTAGCTCATTTAAAAAAAATCACGAGAATTTGTCAATTTTTCATCTTAATTGATCGCCCTAAAAATTGCAATTTAAAAGAAAATCTTCATAACTTTTCAAATATCTCACAAAAGCTTTTTCAAAAGTTTCTTTTTAAGCCTCGAGAACTTTGTCAATTTTCCATAAAACACCACAAACAACAAGTAAATTCATGAAAAAAAAAACTTTCTGCATTTCGTCCTTAACTTTTGATAAATCATTTCAATTTGTCAAAACTTTCTGACGATTTCATTAAAATCTCCACTTCTTGTAACTTTCTATATTGAATAAGATTATGACTAGTAGTAGTATAGACGCTATTCATAACAAGCTTATTAGAGTTGAAGTGTAAGAGAACTAATTAAATATTAATGAGAAGATGTTTCATTTCTCAAATCCTCATCTCTTAATCCTATTTTGTCATTCATATATGGATGCTAAATGGATTCTGTATATGAAATACGGAAGTTTGTCAGTTTTATGTAAAGTCTTGTGCACTTTGTTGGAGGTTTTTTTTTCAGTGTTAAATGGGTTAAGAGGATTAAATTATAAGGCATGTTAGTAAAGCTCTATATAGATAGGGTTACCATCTAGTTTTCATGAAAATACAGGACATTTGGTAAATTTTTTCGAAAAAAACAGGACATAGAGTAAAATTCGAAAATTAACGGAAATTTTCATGAAAAAAATACAGGACCAGGAACAAAATTTAAAAATTTATACAGGACAGGGTTTTGAAATACAGGACTGTCCGTTGTAAAACTACGCAGATGGTCACCCTATATATAGACTTGGATTTTATTTCTTGAACCTATATCGAGTAGGGTATATGAGATTAATGTTGATCCTGCTAAAGGTTTTACCAAAAAAATTTTATTTACGAATGACAGGCATCTTTTGACCTTTACATCAGGTTGAGTAAGAGTTTTAGGCCGTGCTTTCGCTTCGGTTCAAAGGGAGGGGGGAAGGTGAAAGGGGGGGGGGGGGGGGCAAGACCCTCCTGGCTACGTGCCTGATTTACACTTAACTTCTCGGTGATGGTCATGGAAAACGGGAGTCCTTGAACGGCTTATTATATCCTTACCCAGGAAAGGTTGATCACCCTAGGATACCTTATCCTCCCCTCTCTAGAGTAGCCTTGGGTAAGCTAACCCATCCTTCCCCGCACTGCCCTAGGAGAAACTAGGTGAAGCATGGGGAAGGCCTTTAGAATAAGGGTAGAAGGGTGCCCCGAGTAGTTATAAAAACTGACCCCTGTGCTATTTCAACTACTCATTCTGCCAGGGCTGCCAGAGCGACCTGCACTAATCACAAAAGTAGGACTTTAATTTTTACCATCTAAATTCAAAATTGGCTATATTCGATGGCTTTTCACCTTAACAAGCATTTCAACTTTCGCATGTCATTACTAAGGACACGTTGCTACCCATGTTGTGTATCAAGCAAACAAAAAAAACAGCTATTCAGCACAATGTTCCCATAATTCCTTCATAACCTCACTTTCATACTGAATTGTATCGTCCTGTCACTCCAATTAACCTCAATAATGGATATCATGCTGCATAATGATACCAAAAAAGAAGACTTTTCCATTGAAAGAACCACAAATTCTCATCCAAAAAGTCTTCATGCCCTCAACAGATTTCATAACATAACAAACACAAAAGCCACCGAGAGAGACGAGAAAAACTGTTGAATAACAAAGCTCTATTGTTTGCAGGCTCACATAAATTTTCCTTTTTGCGTAAAGATTGCAAGACATTTCCTTATTTAATCGCACGAAATCTGAAATTTTTCTTTATATCATCAAGACTGACAATGAGGAAGGAAAAGAATCTCATTTCTCATGATTCTCGCTTTTTCAGTTCTTTTCTTATCCACAAAATTCTCTCGTTTTAACTATTCATTCATACATCATCTAAAATTCATGACACATTCATTCTCTCATTGTATCCATTCCGTTTCATTCCACACATATACATAAATGGAAAGAGAGTCGAGAGTTCTATGCATTTGTGGAAATTAATGCTTTTCATATGTTTGGAATGATGACGAGATGGAAAAAAAGGAGCTGAGGTTGTATGGGGATGTTAGTGAATGACGTACAGGGTTGGGTGCTGTGCTGTTTGTGCTAATTATAAGCAGCTAGCTTAACTGCAGATTGATGATTTGCTAGGAAAGTGTAAGTCGTGACTTAACAGATTTCTACTGCTTAATCGTTAATTTACTTGTTAAGTAGTCAATTGAGTAGGCACAAGGAAAGGCCAGTGACAATAACATCAGCAACCCGTGCAGTCACAACTTTTTAGAAAAGGGTTTATCCGAAGTTTTATAAAACAAATTTGATGCTCGAGCCAGGAGGAAGATCGAAGGGGGTTTACCTTTTTTTTTCTTAAGTTCATGTCTTTTACTAAAGATTTTGTTTATGATTGTAAATGCTGCAAAGTCTAGATTTGAGTCTGAAGACTGTCCATTTCTGATCCGGACCAGAATTACACTTGTCATTAATCACAACCCTTTCTTTAACCTCCACTTTTTTCTCCGAATGCTACAAGTCGGTTAATCGAATAGATATCCGGTGCACAGTCGGTATGGCTCTGGCGTGGTGCTGGCTTCAATTTAAATCCAGCACCATGCCAGAGTCACACCAGCTTAGTGCAGATTTCTGATTGATTAACCGACTTGTGCGATTCGTGCTATACTCAAAACATGCCATCATTCACAACTTACCCCGCAAATGAGATGACGACGATTGTTCTTTCTGTTTTAACATTCATACTTTTTCCCGCTTCTCTTGATGCTGTTCCCTTTTCACGATTCATTTATATTTCATGTAATTTTGCTCAAAGGAAAAATTAAAAACATGAATGGGATGAAATGTGATGAATTAAAGAACGAAAGAAAAAAAATTAGTTTTTAATTTTACTGAGATTTATAAGTCGCGTGTTGGTTGAGAAATGAGCAGTTTTACTTTACTTGAGAATTTTGGATGTGAGAGGAATTTAATTGAATTTTGATGGATGATGTGAGGAAAATTGTTGAAGTTGTGAGAATTATTTATAGGTTAGGTGCATTTTTAGTAATGTTTCCACTAAGTTGAGCACATTTGTGCTAGAGCAGTGATGGACAACCCATTTACCACGGCACTCTGGTTAAAAAATTCCGAGAACCCCACAAATCGTGTTCGGTTTCAGTCTAGCTAATCATCAAAGTGTGCCTTAGCACAAAAAAGGTTGGACACCACTGTTCTTGAGCAATTCTGAAATCAACAAAAACTCTTAAATTAAGATTTTAAAATTAGAAATGATTTTGAAACATTTGACCCTTAAATCAAACTAAACTAGCCCAAACCTTAAAGTCCATTTAAACCTTTAACAAACTTTAACTCAAACTTCAATCCTTAAGCCATAAAATCACATATTCACAAAAGACATAAAAAATCACATTAAGCAGCATCGACTCAGAGACAAAAAAAAAAGAAGCGGAAATGAATAAGAAATTTCCATAAAATGAAATTGTATCATTTTGTGAAGAAGCCCTAAAGCTAAACCGTGCATCTCATATTCATGCATATAGAACTTTAACGTCCAATGTTAATATTTGATAACCAAGGAAAATATTTGCGATTTTTCTGGAAACTTCGCGTTGAATTTGAAAATGAAATTGAAACAGAACTTTTTTTTGATGATTTTGTGTTTAAATGCGGATACTTTTTCTGTGGATCATGTGGGGAGGCTATTAAAGTTTCATAGATTCTATGTCCTTTGATATTTTAGATTCGGGTAGGAAGAGTTTGGATTGATAGTGGTAATAATTGCTAGAATACAGCGCATTTCTAATGTCAATATGTAGTAATACAAGTCAGTTAAAAGAACAGAAATCCAGAACCAAGCCAGTATGATTCTGGCATGATGGAAGGCTTAAATCGAATTCAGCATCATTCCAAAATTACACTAGCTTGGTGTATGATTCCTATTCGATTACCCGTCTCAAAGTTGCGACGACAGCATTTGCAAACCTGTGACAGATCTGTCAACATGTGGCCTGTTAACAGGTGGCCTGTCAAACAGGAGGTGACCTGTGACAGGTGGGCTTTTTTCGTTGACTTGTGACAGATTGCAACTCTGACCCCTCTTGTGATATTTAGCCGATATTTTTAAGTTTTGTGTCAGTTTAGAACAAACCAAGAAGGCATCGAGCAATGCTGTTGACTATGAACCTTATTTTTTAATGTGAAAGCTACATGAACAACAAGCCAGACAAACAAAAACAATAACGTTATCCCAAATAAAAAATACAGCACTATTCAAATAGGAAATTCAAGCCGTCGAGTGAAATTCCACAAACATTTGCAAATGAAATTTTTCCAACATTCTCTTCCTTCCTGTAATTTTTGCTGACGATTTCAGTTCCTTTGCTTATCGTTTGTAATGCTATTTTTACATCTTAATGTGGATAAAAATAAAAAAAATCCAACAACTTCGTTTTTTTGCACTTAATTTCCCAAGTTGATTGTGAAAATGTAAAATTCGGAGGAATGAAAATTGTGCAGTTAAATGAAAAATTGAAATGGGAGAAAAAGTCATGTAAATGTGGATTTGCAGTAAAATTGAAAATAATGCTCAAGGAAGCTGTTGCATAATAAGAATAATAAGGAATTGCTTTGAGATTAAAATTCGAGTAAAAAATTTTTCTTTGATTTTTCGGCGGGAACTTAGCAATGATCTCAATATTACGATAAGATTTTGTCGTGTTGATTGCTCAAGTTATAATTAAAATAAAAATTAAATTTTAATTGAGTTGATTTAATTCTTTGATACCACAAACTTACAGAATCACAGGTCCTTAGCATAAGGTTTGCAAAATATTACAAAAATAAAACAATAATTATCATTTTACATCCTCTTTACTTCCAGCCGGAGAAACTAAACGTCTACAAAAATGACAGTGATATCAGTTGGGACTATACACTGGGTAAGTCATGTAAGAGAAATTTTATCGTTAACCATTTGAAGTATTGCTTTTTTTGAAAGCTTTATTAACATTTTTCCAAAAGAAATGTTTAGAATTAGATTTTTTTTGTTTCAATTTTTGCAAATTTTTTATTTTTTATTTTGAATTATTTTTAAAGAAAATTAAATTTTAAACATGAAATCAATCATTTGAAACAATTAACTTGATTAAATAGTTTCAAATAAGAGAACTAGTAACCAGGGGCGTTATCAGGAATTTTAAAAGGGGTAGGGATAAGCTTTCTCGATTTCTCGGTCTCGACAAATTCTCGAGACCGAGACCGAGACCGAGACCGAGACTTCCCGGGAATTCCCGGGAAGTCTCGACTTTAAAAACTACTTAAAATTTCGCTGAAAGTAATTAAAAAACACTTAGAACATGTAGATTACGTCTATTTGTTATTGAACTTCTGGATATATTCCTTGTTATGCGATCAGTCAAACTAATTTTATTGTCTTAATACTAATATAAAATATAAAAGAAATACGAAATACGTAATGATAAAAGAAAAGCATAATGATAAGAAAGTGTGTCCCTATTAAAACTATTCTGGGTTTTGGAAATGACTTTTCACAAAAACGATAGCATTTAAGTTTTTGTTAAGCAATCGCTTCCATTGCTTGGTCAAAACATTATTGCTGATTGAAAAATTACGTTCACTCTGGGTAGATGTTGGTTGAATGCTTAGCAGTGCATTATACAGCTGATTTAATAACGGAGTTTTGACTTTATTTCTCTCATACCATGAAAACTCGCGTTTTAAGTTTTCATTAATATTTCGAGTACTAGGCTCATTTGATGTAAATTGCATCAAGCTTAACTTCAAACGATCTCGAAGAGAATTTTGTTGTAATTGAGTAACTTTAGAGTTGGAAGTTGACTGAACTGGTTCATTATTTGTTGAAATTTCCGAAAAATGCTGTTGAAGTATTCTAAAATTATCATTTTTACTTAGATTTTTTTCTTCTCTAGTCTCGGGTCTCGGTCTCGGAAAATTCTCGAGACCGAGACGAGATCGAGACCGAGACTTCCCGGGAAGTCTCGGTCTCGATTTCGTCATCGGGAAAGCATAGTAGGGACAAAAAAAAATTTTTTTTTAAATTTTATGGGACGGGTCTATTTTTTATAAAATCCATAGCAAAATGAAGAAATTTCTGGTGACGAAAGGGGATTTGTGCACTAAATCCCGCCCGGCTATGCGCCCGATGGTAACACTTAATTGATTAATAATGAACTTAATGTTAAGGTCACTATTCTGAATGCTATTAAGTTACTCCTTAACTGACTTAAATTGTATCAATCTGATACGTTCAATTCATGTTCGACAGACTTATCGAAAGTCTAGGGGTGCTATAATATGCACTTTCGAAAAATTTAAATTTGAAAAACCGTTACAATTTTTGGTCATTTTATTAAAGTTTTTGACAGTTATGAAAACAGATTTAGCTTTATTATGCTTATTATCAAATGATAACATAATATTTTCATCTTAATTTCATGAAAAATTTGCTTAATTTTTGTTTTTACTTTTTCCTAATTTTCGAAAATTTCGAACTGCAGGGTATGAAACTTCAAATTTTGCACGGCAGACAGACAAATAAGACATTTTTACAAGTGTTCTTGGAAACTGTAACGGTCGAAACTCTTGAATTGTTAGTATCAGGTATCAATCTTCAAGAAATGTGTTCTTATTTCCAGAAAAATTTAATCTTTTGTCCAATTATAAAATATGTTTTATCCAAAGTGTAGAAACTCAGGAGTAATCCTAAAAAATCACAAAAATCTTAAAAAATCCCTGACCCAATAAACATAAAAATGTGAATTCCCTTTTAAATCGCGAAATTATTCATAAAATGCTTCAGGGATTTCACATTTCAATGTTTATTGATTCAGGGATTTTTAAGAATTTTTAGGATTTTTCAGGATTAATCCTGAGTTTCCACGCCTTACTTTTAACAAATTCAACAAGAATAAAAATCCAAGCATTAAAAAGGAGGGAAAAACATTGAAAAGAAACGAGAATGAAATGAAGGATTTAAACTTAATCTGGATACAAAGGGAATAAAAAGAACTGCCATGTCATTTTTGACTGATACAACATGTGAAATGTAAACATTTATGTACATTTGTTACTGAATATGATTTTATATTGTGTTTCATATTGATTTAAAGTAAAATACACTAACTGTGTATTTGTTTATGCGCAATGATATACAAAAAGCTTTTTGATGCACATTCAATAGTATGATATGGGATATATGTAGCCAAACATATAAAGGATCATTGTTTGTTTACTTTTTGTAGCAAAATAAGAAACTTTTATTGATACTTTTGAATTTTTGGACAAAAATTACGGTATTTTGGCTATTTATAAGATTTGAGGGGAGTGAAACTAAGAACAATTATTGTAAATAATATTTTATAAACGGCAAAGTTGAGTAATTTTTAATAAATGATCAATTAATGCTTTAGATTTGTCTAAACTTTAAAAACATAATGAAAAAAAATCTAAAGGGTATACAACTACGCCAAAAAATTTTCCTGCTTTTTCCTTGTTTTCGAGTCTTCAGCTAATTTAATGATTCATAAAAGTTCACAAATTGTTATCAAAAATAAGTTTATATCGTAAATAATTCAAAATGAATATTATTAATTCCAAGAATAGCTAAGATCCATATTTGACCCATATTTCATTTCACGTGTTACTAATCTTCAAACTTTTTCAACATTTTGTATCATTTTTCCTTTAAATTTTATTGTTTCTGCCCAAACACTCTGAATTTCCTTTTTCATTCATTCATTCAGGTTTTCTTTCCATCTGACATGAACACAATATGTCAGAAATCTTTTTTCTTATTTTTTTTCATTCTCTCATATCATCGTTAAACACTTTTTCTTTTATTCCTGCCTTTACAATCCATTGTGATGTCTATTATTGTTTAAGAATGACTTTTAAAATGTAAACAAGTAGAAAATTTTTGGAATAAATTGATTTAAAGCGCTTTTCTACTGTTTTCTTCATTCATAGTAGCATTTATTACAAAGTTGTTGATAAAGACAGATTTTAAAAACTTTTTTCATAGTTTGACACCCCATTTGTATTTAAAAACCAAATCAACGTAGTTTCACTCCCCTTAAAATATAAAATGACATCAATTCTAGGTAAAAATAGGTCTCTAAACGTTATTGTCAGGATATTCAGAAAAAATTAATCAAAAATTATTAAAATTTAAAAAAAAAAACATTTTACTTAGTTTTGCACCCCTTAAAAGTTATAACATAAGACAAACCAACTTAACCTGCACTCTTCAAGCTCAAATTCAAAAAAATGTCCTACTTAAAAAGAACACATAGATGAAGGAAGTGAGATGGATCGCAATAATGGAAGGCAACAAAAAGAATGGCAAGCACAAGTAAAATGAAAAGCGACAGGAAAAAATGTTTTTATTTTTTTTCCTGCCATTTATTGAGTTTTCCTTTTGTTTCAAATAAAAGTGGAAGTAAACTAAAGCACTGAAAATCTCTTTAATGCTTCAATGTTGAAATCTGATAAAATTGATGAAATTACCGATTCTATAAAGTATGTGGCGAAAACTAAAAGAGGCCATTGTACTTGATGCTTTGTTGATGTAACAGATTTAAAGATTTATAAAGTATCAATGTTGTAGACATCAAAAGGATGTCGACCGTTTGATGTTGATTGATTGAATGAAGGAAAGTGGTAACTGTATCATAGTAACATATTTGTCATGGGCGTCAAAGAGATGTCTGACTTTTTTGAGGAGAAAGAAGTTTTGTTTTCACAGTTTTCAATTTTTAATTGGGCTTCTTTAAACCACGTTTCTTTAAGTTGATGATACTTGTGGACTCAACTTTTGACAATTTGTATTTTTCCTTTTTGCTGAACCTGAGCTGAACCCTTTACGATTAAAGTTAAATGACTTCATACAAAACAAAGACAATTGAACTCACCTAGCGTCCCCTCCTTGAACATTTTATTGCTTAACCTCACTTCTCATGTCAACTGCTGAATTTTTAATCCTTTTAGCGCCATACCTATGGTGATTATCCTTATTATCAGCCACAAAAAGATCACCGACCGTTTCCAAAGTTACCATTTTCATATTCTTTGTGAAAGCATTAACCTTTTTCACGCTTACAATACTAAAATTCTCATTGATCCACCTACGCACAAGAAATCTCATTCATCTTCTGTCTAATGTGCCTCAAGAAATGTAAAAAGTCCTCTTTCTTGTAAGGGGCCATTTACTTATGACGTTCAAGGGGGGTGGGGGGGGGGGGGTGGTTAGCAGGAAAAGTACTATTGAAATTTCTGGAGTCTTATTGTTCTTTTTGAAAAATGACCGTTAATTTTGGATGTCACAAGTGAGCGACCCCCAATATAAAAAGGATCACAAAATGGGATTATTTGAAAATGATGTCAACAGTTTGGAGACAAAACAAACATGAAGAGATTAAAATTTAAACAAATAAGTAAGTACCCTAATTGGCAAAGAGCACAGAAAGAGCACACTCTAATTTTTGCTGAGTGTACTCTAAAAAGTATGCTCTTTCATACAAAAGTTTGTGCCACTACTTTACGCCTAAAAGTGTACTCACCAGAGCATACTCACTCAGTTATACTTTTAGCACACTCTTGAAATAAAACATTTTTTTATGTGTCATGTCACATGTGACACACTTTATGCTCAATTAAGCACATAAAACATATGCTCAAATGAGCATACTTAGTTTGACATACTTTTAATATACTCATAAAAGTACATCTTAATCTGACTATTGATGTACTCAAAAGAGTATACTTTGAGTGTACTTTAAAGGACGTAATAAATAAAAATTATTTTTTTTTGAAACTTTTTTTTTACTAATATTTTACATAATTAAAGTGTACTTTTTTTTATTATGCTGTTTAATTTTCAAAGCTATGAAAGAAAGAAAGAAAGAAGAAA